AATTTCTATTTTGTAATTTGAATTTCTTTTATTGTTGATTCATTCAATATATTTACTTACAACTGTACCATGTTCAGCGCTTTGGGCTTCCTGACAGGGTTGCGGAAGGCGCTTTATAAATAAAGCTTTGATTGATTGATTGATTGATTGATTGATTGATTGATTGAATTGATCAACCATGCGAGGAAGTGACAGAACAGTGTGTATGCCAATCCAAGTGACAAACAGCAATTTAAACCTATAGTTAGGAGGATAACAGAGTTGGAAGAGGTCCAGGATTAAGTCACAGGCTGAAAATTGAGTCTGGATCAGGAAGATAGGTCACCCAGCACCCTGTCCACTGCATCAACCCTAACCGCAGTCAGACCCTTGAACATAACACAACCCATGGTAGCAGGGGACCGAGCGAAGGATGTGTTATCCTAAAAAGGAGAAAGCTCTACAGTAGTCCTGTGTTTACCAGGATCTAAGGTCCAATCCCAATACTCGCACTGTGCCCTGTGGTCTCCAGCCAAGTGCACTTGGAGAAAGTGTGCAGTAAGGCACTGAGAGCATGGTACACAAGTGTGAAAATAATTGTCGAATTAAGACAAGGAGCATTACGTCATCGATCGCAATGCATGCCGGGATGTTGGTCGCTGTGATACTTCAAAAACCTTTAACAACTTTCAAACGCACGACAAAATAGTTGGTAAATGGCCTGTATTTGTTTAGCGCCTTCTTAGGGTTCTACATCCCCCAAGGCACTTTACAACACTATCAGTCATTCACCCACTTACACACTGGTGGGAATAAGCTACGATGTAGCTACAGCTGTCCTGGGGCGCAGTGACAGAGGTGAGGCTGCCGAGCACTGGCACCACCGGTCCCTCTGACCACCACCAGCAGGCAGGCGGGTAAAGTGTCTTGCCAAAGGACACAACAGCAGCATTCTCTGGTTGGAGCCGGGATCAAACCTGCATCCTTTCGATTATTGGACAACCCACTCTACCTCCTGAGCTGCTGCTCTCCAGTTATTTGAAATCAATTTAATTTCATTGCTGCTTTGTCTAAAACAATCAGAGCAGGGTGTTGCATTTGTAATTGTCTATTGTTGGTGAACTGGGAGCTGTGAACATGGGGGGAGGGGGTGAAACATAAGAAAATATAAATTTTGTTTGTGTGATTGAGGATAAAACATGTTATAGGAAAATGGCAATGACACTCAGTGTAGGGAAAATATATAAATTTTTTGTTTTATCTTTCTTGAAATTTGATTTGGGGGGGATTATATAAGCTACCAGAGCTTCGTTCCCTTCCCATTGAACATGTTCTACATACATATATATATATATATATATATATATATATATATATATATATATATATATATATATATATATATATACATATATATTAGGGCCGGGACTTTAACGCGTTAATTACGATTAATTAATTAGAAAAAAATAACGCGTTAAAAAAATTAACGCATTTAATCACAGCTTGCATTTCAAGCACGGCGGAACCTTTGTCATTGCACGTTTTCCTCGTAGACCGAATATCACTGACGCACACAACAATGCACAGTGGCTAATGGCTACTAAAACGAAATAAAAACAGAAAGAAGTTGCCTTGCTTGGACTGATGCAGGATTTAGGAAACACGTCCGCATCTTTTCTTAACTTAAAAAAAAACAAACTTCCAGACAACAACGGAGTCCGTGTCGCGGACATTTTTCATAGATCGTCTCTGCTGCAGCTGCCCGCCCGGTGGCACCGGAAACTTTACAAAAGTAGCGGTAAGCTATATTTTTAACATTTACGTAACATCTGTGCAGCGCTGAAAGCACCAGACAGAATAATTCTGTGTCCTAACAGTAGTTTATGAAAGTAGTCTGACAAACGAGAGGCACCTGGCTGCCGCTGGGAGAACGCTCCGTGTTCTCACTACTCTGTAAACAATCACAAACAACGTGTCTTAAAGTTGAAAACAGAAGTTTAAGTTAAAACAGAAACACTGAAATTTTTCTTATGATTTTCCAAATAATTCTGTCGGGGAATTATATGTTTCTGAAACATCACATGCATTACTGTCATTAAGCAGCGAGGTGTGTTGAAGCTGTCATCAGCTAAGGGGCGGATACTTAAGTGCATCAGGGGCAGCGAGGAACGAGGAAGTGGTGATCAGGCTGGAGATCACACCAGATTCGCTGCAGCAGGCGTGAATCTGCGGGTCTGCAGCATCCCCTTCTTAACGTGACATCAGGACTTCCCATGTAAGGAAGGTCCGCTCACCTGTTCGTCAGATCATTATTTCCTCGCCATGATCTTTTATCTTCCCATCATCCTCCAGTTGTCCAACTGGAACCAGTTAGTGTTCCTGATCATTCTCAGAATATGCCATGCCTGCTCTGGTGTTAAAAGTTAGTACATTGAAGTCCTACATCATATTTGTGCCTGTTCTACTGTCATTTTGAAGGATTATTATTTAAATGTGTGTTTTTACTACATTATGAGTAGAAATGCTAATAAAAACTCCCAATTATACAAACAAGTGAAACTGGAAAAATTAGAATCTGGTGCAAAGTCAAATTTATTTCAGTCATTCAACTAGACAGAGAGACTATTTAAAGGCTCAGGAACCCTTTGCAGGTGTTTTCTATTTGTAATTATAAATTTTAGTTGATTTGGGTTTTGTTTCATATCACACAGTGACATTTGAATAATTAAAATGCATTTTTTAAATTAAAAGCTTTAGTTTACAGTAATAACCATGTCTAATGTTTGATTCTCTGTCTCATAATTTTAATTAAAAGTTTTACTTTGAGAGCACATTTTCCTGAACAATTAAAATGCGATTAATTTAGATTAATTAATTACAAAGCCTGTAATTAATTAGATTAAAATTTTTAATCAAGTCCCAGCCCTAATATATATATATATGCATATACATATGTGTGGGTTTCCTTTTGGATACTTTTTGAATGCTTTGGGTTGTCTATTGATTTGCATGCATGTTCAATAAAGAAAGAAAAAAAAGCATCAACTAATCATCCTAAAACAAGCTAATTTCATTAGAAAATGCATATTTTCAGAAAAGAAACTTGAGCCTTTTCTCCCCAGCAATTCCATGCTATACCATACCATTTATTTATAAAGCACATTTAAAAACACAGCATGTCAGCTGACAAAATTGCTGCACAAGAATAAGGATAAAAACACAGTAAATGAAACACAAAAAGATAAGCAATAAAACACGACACAATAAAACTAGAAAACGTCAAAAATGGGAGAAGGCCATGTTATAAAAGTATGTATTTAAAACTGATTTAATACGAGAGAGAGAGAGAGAGAGAGAGAGAGAGAGAGAGAGAGAGAGAGAGAGAGAGAGAGAGTGCATTCCATAGAGTGGAGGCAGCAGACTTAAAAGCCTATCCACCTTGCGATTTATATCTCATTGGTGGTATACAGAGCAAGAGACAGTCAGCTGACCTCAGAGCCCAGTTTGGTTCGTAGGGAATAATCAAATCAGAAACATACCCTGGTGTGGAGCCATTCAGAATCTTAAAAACAAAGGTCAGGATCTTAAACATGACACATAAATTTACTGGTAACCAGTGCAGACGTGCAAGATCGGGACAGATGTGAGTATGCCTGTTAGTGTTAGTCAAGAACCTGGCTGCAGCATTGTGAACCACCTGTAGTCGATTTAAAGCCAAAGTTGGGGCACAAAAGAGGTTAGAGTTGGCACAATGCAAGCGGGACGTAATAAAAGCGTGAATGACAGATTCTAAGTGCGGCCGCTTCAAGATTGGTTTTAGACGATGGATTGTGGGTAATACACTTCAACCAAGTCCACATCGATGCAGACTCGGGTGAAGTGGGGATCAAGAGTGCAAAAAGGGCGTGATTAACTTCTGCACTTGAGTATCGGGACACCTTATGCATTTGCTCCCCTGGTCGGGATTGTGCAATTGAAGGGCACAAGTGTGGAAGGCACGAGTATTGGGATTGGGCCTTTGTAGTACAGAGAGATCTCAACGATGTGGACCACAGCACCACAAGGGAACAACACCCAGAAAGTCTTGGATGTCAGTTCAACAGAGATGTTGTGGCAGTCATAACAAACATCGACCTCAAGTGCAGGGGTGTTGACTAACCAAAACAAACCGATGCTAACCACAGTAGTCTGTAAGACATGTAATCGGGGGTGACTGTCATAGAACATTTAGAATCCGTTGTCATCGTCCCAATACCACACAAGCTTGTGGTTTTGTCACGCAGAAAAGGGGTCCACAGACAAAAGAAGTGTAGATCACGTGTGAGGGAACACACGTGCAGGTCAGGGACCAGAAGGACGTCTGGCGTGTTGTCGTGAAAAGCAACAACCGGCAGTGTATGCAACCTGACATGAGTATCATCCAACCTGCAACCTGACATGAGTATCATCCACCCAGCAACCAACATTGATCCCGTCTTTCAGTTGGTAGATATCACCTGAGGACATGATCGATAAGTTGATGATGAACGCTAGTTCTCTAGCATCGGGGTCAACCCGAAATGGAATTGCACTGCCCAAAGAGAAAGTTAGGTAAGTTTGAAGGGCCATCACATATTCCTTAGTTGTCCTGCTAAGCATGTCGTGGACCATAGCCAGAAAGACAAGATATGGAGAAATCCTCCCCATGAAGACTGGCACAGGAATGGACTGTTGAGGGCTCTCCACTGGGATGGAATCCAGAGGACTCTCGACTAGGGCAGATTCCAAAGGGCTCTTGGTTGGCATGCAAGCGCAGCCAGAAAGAACTGGGTCAGCCTGTAACGGTGCAGGGTCAGGGTAATCTTCGACCCCCTCCAGTAGGCAGAGATGACACCTGTGGCTGAACAGTGAAACAACATAACGACTGGCCACATGGGTGTTGCTGTTGTTGTTCACAACACTTCAAGATGTAATGAGGTCATGGGGGAGCTTCATGGGCAGCAGGTGAGTCGCCTGGGTCCAGAGCTTCAACCCACAGAGGTAAATAATGGGCCCAAAGCGATTGATCATGTCTTTGTCAAACAGAAAAGTAAAAGACTCAAGGTCAGACATGAAACGGTGAACATTGCTAAAGTTTTATGGGACCCTCAATCAAAACCCAGTGGGCTACTGGGAGGTCCCTTGAATATCCGTAGTCTGAGTTCTAAAAGTGATGAGATAAAACATGTTCCTATGGACTCTAACTTGGACTTCCTATGTTTATCAGAAACTTGGTTAAATAAAAACTCCCCATCTGCAGCCCTACATATTCCTGGCTATAATGTTTTTAGAAAAGATAGAAAGACTGGTAAAGGTGGGGGGTTACCATTTTATGTCAAAGATCATATATCATGTAGAGGTTCATTGCTCAGTTAATGAGCTTGAGCATATCTGCCTTAATATTAGCTTGTCACCACAAATGTCCTTTTTTATCATTTGAGTGTATAGACCACCATCTGCTAAAGCAATTTCCTTTGACAAATTCCAAACTGTTCTAAAGGAATGTAGCTCAGGGAAGGAAATGTTGGTAATGGGGGACTTCAATGTAAATTGGGAGGATGAAGGCACCAGCAAAGCACTATGAAGGGTAACAAATAAATTTGATTTTACTCAACTAATTAAAGGGCCCACCAGAATAACATTGTCTTCTGAAACTCAAATTGATTTGATATTCACTAACAAGCCTGAAAGGGTGACAAAATCATTTAACATGGTTACTGCTCTGTCTGACCATAACCTTACTCTTATCGCAAGGAAGCTCACAAAGTCCCGTTTCCATATAAAGCCTCACACTAAATCTTGCAGATTTAGAATACCCAAATGTGATGTCGATAAATTTGATAGGGAAATCAAAAATATTAACTGGGATCAAATCTACTGTAAGTACATCTTGTTACTTAGTCCAGTGCACTGCAGAGAAAAGATAATGAAATGTAAGATTTTAAGAATAGTAAATGAAACTGCATTCTATAGCTTTTTGCCATTTCTTTCAGATTGGGAACGCTTGTCTGAAGATTGTGGGGGAAGCTGCACAAAGACATGTAATCTGTCGTACTGGTACACCTTTTCTTTGGTTATAGCCATGAACGGTTGTTGTGTATTGATTTTGCTGTTTTGTGTGTGTTTCCTTTAGGGAAAAGATGTTCACATTGCTGACCTCTATGTCGTGGCCACCTGGAAGGATCCACAAGTCAACCTGCTGCGTTGCTTGCCGGTATGTTTTTGTTGGTTTTACTCCTGCATGTGCATGTTTACTAATTTGTACCAATAAATGTAGGAAAACTTTAGGTCCAAGGACATCCTGCTTCTTCCTGCTTGGAGTCGGCAGGCAGGTGAAGCTGACCATTATCTGCTCTGTGTGAGTGCCCTTGATCTTTCTTGCTCTGTGTTTTTTCATCTGATAGAAAATAACAGAGGTTGACATGTCGTGTTTTCATGGATGATGCTAACATGTCTATTTCAGGCTATAATGGTAGCTGAGAGACAGATACTGTTTCTGGACTCACTTCGCCCTGATGGTTTTGGAGATGATCTCTACCAAACCACATTTAGGTTGTCACTAAAATGAAAATTTGTTCTGGCCTTGTTCAATGGCCTCTTGTGTTCTTTGGAAAGATCGTCTAAAAGCAGCCTCGTTCTTAGGCTTAAAGGTTTGGGAGGCAGCCTCGTTCTAAGGCTACTTCATGATAGGGATGCACCAATACTGATATCCAAGCCAATACTGTTCTAATTAACTTGTATCTGCATAGTTTAGTTAACTGATACTATGAACCGATACTTTAAATGTGGAAACTGCAAAACTTTCACAGAAAATGTTTATTTTTCACTTGAACTTTGAATTTTGTGGTCATTTTAATTCATATGTTTTTTTTAATCTAATTCACCATTATTTGTAACAAGCACTGCAGAAAATAAAACTGCCTTCCGATTCATTCCATGCCATTGTGTGGTAGAATTATTAGCACTAGTACTTGGTATCAACAAGTACTCGGATCCAATTATCTGTATCGTATCAGTTTGAAAAAGTATTGTTGCATCCCTACAACATGAATTTATTTTTGTTTTATGGCAAACATTTGATTGGTGTGTTATGTGTGTTCTCTACAATGCCAGGAGAGTAGCAGGCTTCATTGACTCTGGATTCTGGATGGAGAAAACAGGAAGAGACCTTGAGGTATGCTTACAGTGCAAAAGTTTGAAAGCTCATCAGGTGCATAATAATGCAGTTAAAAACTAGCAGGTGCATGTCAGCTCTCTTCATTTAATGAAACATTTTTCTTTTTATAGTTCTTTCCCCAGCAGTTCATGGGAAATTGCTGCGGCATCTTTATGCTGATGGTGAGAATTGTCTTGCCATTACTTGAATATAACATTTTAACATGTTAAAGATTGATTTTACTTTACAGTATGCTCTCTGCATCTGCACCTCATCTCCACCATCTTTCACAGAGGTAAGCTTTTTCAGACAGTACCACCAAAGTATCTGTGCCAGTGTCCAGTCTTCATAAACCTTATATTATATTTGTCTTCAGGAGGAAATGCCAGCAATTCGCCTGTGGTGGTGTATTCAGCTGATGGAGAGATTCGGCATTGAGGGGTATGGCAGGCACTTTAGACAAACTGGCACCATCATATTTGCAGCTTTGGTTCAGGCAAGACATCAGGTCAAACAGATGTTTGTGAAAGTGGCTTACTGTAAACCCTGTGACCGAACATACTGAAGAAAGCAACAGTCCACAACTAGAGTCCATTCAGACTGGCGTTGTTTTCTAAAGGCATGGACAAAGATTTGCCTTCTGGACAGAAGAAGCATCCCTTCTCCTCCAGGGGACTCTCCAGCCTGTCTTCAGGGTACCAAAGGCAACCTCCTCCAAGCCTTCACCAAGTCTAATCAGACCGGTGAGAGATGAAAACAATCAGATAACTATTTGTAGGACAGAACCACACAATGTTGAGACTATTCATCACAATGCAGGTTTACATACATGGTGGTAATCTTCATTTCAGTCCAATGTGATAATCATGTTTTCTGTTAAAGGCTGAGGCTGACAGGTGTCTTATACTGGAGGTAATCTATTGATTTTCCTGTTTCTTTAATTTATTTATATAACTGAATTAGTAGTTATGGTCACAGGCAGCTCCTTCATAGACATTATTCAGTAGTAGAATGAAGTAATAGTTATGAAAACACTACTCAATGTAATGTGTTTCCAGTCCTCATATTTCTGAAACTTTATGGACATATTTTGTATTTTCACTATTGTCACCTGACATAAATGTTACAGTTACCAGAACGTGTCCTAATGGACATATTGGAAGAGGTTGTTCTTCACGAAGGGGATGCAGCGATCTTCAAACTGGCTCTGGTGTGCTCCATGTTCAGAGACCTTGTGTCTACTGAATATTTCAGAAGACGAGCACACTTCAAGTGGCTTCGCAGTGAGGACTTCAGTAAATAATGAAATTATATATACAGTTATTGTTGCTGTTGTCACATGTTTTTCACTGACAGCATGTAAATGTACTTTTGTTTTTATACTTCTGCTTTCCACAGGTGTTTGCACATGGAGCAGGTTCTCAGAACAGTACAGAGAACAGTACTTTAACGTGTATTCTATTGAGATCTGCCTTCAATGTGGAGACCAATACAAACACTGCCCCGGAGGTATGCAACACTCTATAATCTTATATTGTTGTCATTACATACAATAAAAATCTCAATGATGCATGACATCATGAAAACCATACCACTTGGAGCCTATTCTTCTCTGGTTGATATATATATATATATATATATATATATATATATATATATATATATATATATATTTTATTACAGGATACGTTGGCAGAGGAAAAAGAGGAGAACTAAGGGCACTTTACTCGGAGGAGATGCTCCCAGGCTACTGCAGCCACTTTTGCAGCCAAATGAACAGTTAATGTGTCTGTTCTGTCGCCGCCCCCGTCTCCACACACAACCACACACACACACACACACACACACACACACACACACACACACACACTCACACGCACGCACACACACGCACGCATGCACACACACTTCTGTCTTTCTATCATAGTGAGGACCCTTCATTGACTTCCATTCATTTTTGTGATTTCACCATGCCTAACCCTAACCCCAACCCTAACCATAACCAACGCTGATCTTTTCCTAACCTTAACTAAAACTTAATTCACACTATGCCTCTAACTGGTATAGTAAGCTTCTGGTATGCTTCTAAAAAAAGCGAGGACCAAAAAATTTCCTCACTTTGTAGGGAAAATGGTCAAAATGGTCCTCAGTATGTAGTATGTACAAGAACACACACACCACCCTGGTTGTAGTGACCAGGTTCCCCATCAGTGGTTCTCCCACATCTTGGATTGTGTTTTGATGCCTGTTTTTCTTTGTGAGAGTTTTTGATCATTCTTCTTGGAGTTCTAGAGCAAAAACTGTAATGCTCTTGTGGTAAGGTGGATAAACGAGGGCCCGGGCGGGATTCGACCCCCAGACTCCCGGGTGAGAGTCATACGCTCTAACCAGTCAGCCAAAGGGACATCCCCTTGGCCAAGTAGCCAGGGCGCATGATCAATCGGGACACTGTGACAGGACACACACTGTCACACTGACAGGACACACACTGTCACACTCTGTTTGAGAAAGTGAATCTGTTGGGCTTGTACCTGGTACTCAGAGTACCACACTGCCAGAAAGGACAGGCTGAAAATAAAAAGCTTTATTTCCATCAATATGTGTCTCCTTATTCAAATAATCTGGGTTGTAACCATCCTCTCAATCCTTTTTCTGTTGTTCATGCTCTTGTAATCTGTTGTTTGTGTTCCGCATTATTACAGTAAACCTGTGGAAATTATAAAGTGGTCCTGTGTTATTTTATATGGATATAAACATGAGTGTAGTTAAATCTGTATTTAACATGTTTAACCTATGAATACCTTGAGAAACTGTTTTCAAACATTAATTTTGCAACATTGTGAAAATGATCACTATGGTATTACAAAGAATTAAGTTATTTCAAGACAAAGTGGCAAACTAAGAAATCTAACACAAAAGTAGAAAGTAAACAAATTTTAGGTGATGAGCCAAATTGGCTTTTGTGCAAGAATATATTACATTTCATATTGGAAAACATTCATAGGACATGTAGTGCAAATTAAGAATATCTGCTGTATCACAGTGACACATTTTCAGCTTTTAAATGAAAATATAACCTATTGTGTGGAGAAAAAACAAACATGTAATAGGTTACCTGAAGACTAATCAGCCAGTGTTTACTGACAATTTACAGTGGACATTATCAACAGAACATCAAGATAATTCAAATCAATCGTCTCCACACATACAAGCATAAACACACTAAATCAAATTTAACACGCATATAAAAACACAATTTGTAACAACGCAAATTTAGTTTACAATCGGGCTAATTCGCTCGGTCAGCAAGTGGCAGTATCCTCGTACACTGCGGAGTAAACTGCCATTGAACGGATCACAAGAAGAATAGAACATCTGCACATGCGCGGTACGGATCAGGTAGAACCGATCTGTATGGTCCGACGTTTTTCTTTTTTTTTCATTTTTATCTACATTATATTGAAATGTTTCACTATTGCAAACATTTTAATAGATACTTATTATTTATTTAACATCTTAACAGATACTCTGACCCGTAACTATCGTAAAATGCTTCGAGCGGAAGTAGACGCCTTTCGCGCATGCGTGGTACCGATCGGGTTTCCGGTACGGATCGGGTAGCGACAACGGCATTAGCAGCACTAAAGCATTAGCATCCGACTTGCTATCGCTAGCACAGTAAGCTAGTAAAGTTAGCACCCAGATTAATGTGGATTTGGCCGATTTTCGTGGAATTAAACGTGATTTCTGATCAACGCCTTCTTTTACACCAGATGATAACCTCCCACTGATTGTAGCAGCAGAGAGCCTGTGTGTTATTCTACGTGAGTGTGATGTAATCTTAGCATCCAGTAAATAAAGTCCCATATCAGCTAAAATGCAGCGTGACAAAGTCATTAAAGTGTGTCAACACAGTGGATTTAATAGAGTTTTAAAGAACGATCTCTGAGTGAAGTGAGGTTAGTTTTTTGTCTCACTGCAGATATAAAAGCTAATTCTGCATCAGTCAGACGCAGCAAAGCTCACCGTCTGTATGAGCGTGAGCGTCGGAAAGCTGATACAATCGGCTGTAAAATAATTAAAACAAAAGTAAAAATGCTCCTTTGCTTTTTGGAGTCCACATCCAGAAGGCTGGAGCCGTGTTTCACTGACAGGCTGTCAGACTAACGCCCTGATGAGCTCAGCTGGGACAAACTGGTCTGATGTTTAGGTAAGTGAAGATCTGCTTCTCCAAGTCCCTGAGATGCTAGTAAAAATTATTTAGCCAGCTTGCTAATGTTACTTTTCTTCTCCTCTAAGGAACACAGAACGTTCAGATGTTGGCGTTTCACGTCACCTACTGAGGAAGGAGACCCACCAGTAAAGAGACGGTCTGGACCAGACCAAAGTGAGTGATGACACACCTCAGCCACCCTCATCATTAAGAACACCTCACCCCCTGAATCACTCCGTCTGATGACAGCAGAGTGATTTATTTGATGTTTTACTTGTTTAGTCTGTTTAGAAATTATTGAATTACATTATTTTCTGTAATCGACCATCTGATCTGGATGTGTGCAGAATAACTTTCCCCAAATTCAGCAGCAGCTGGCCTACAAAAACAGCTGCAGCATGTAGTAAGTCTGTCTGCACTGCTCTCTAATGAGCTTCCTTTCATAAGGAGTCATTTGTATAATTTTAGTGTCACTATTTTATTACATTTGTAAGAAAATATGAAGTCACTGCAGCAAAGTGAACTTGTGAACAAACACAAACGTGACTATAAACATGAAAGCTAAAGAAACAACTTTCCTAAAGCTGCTTGTAAACAAAATATGTCATTAAAGTTATTGTCTATCATTGCAGAATATGGCGATGACATCATGGAACTGGTCTTTGGAAAAGTTTTCCCTGAACCAACTCCGTTTCTAGATGAGGTAGAGAAGATCTGCATCTCACCAACTCTCTGGTCTCAGTATTCAGACAACGGAGGTCTCCCACTGTTGTCCAGGACCAGTTTGAAGCCCACATACTGCCCCTCCCTCATCATCAGGAAACATCAATCCGTATCCTGAGGACGACAGAAGACGGCAGGAGGACAGGAACTCTGAGACCTAGATACCACCAGCACCGAGACACAAAGCACCTGTGTGCACAACGCCTGTTTAACTACTAAAGCCTGTTTATTATATTGTTCTACTTATTTGCTGTGAGGTTAATACTTAGAACATGTGTATATTAATTTAGAATGCAGGTCAGATTTAACTATATTTGTTAGCAAAGCAGACTGATCTTGGGAATTTCACTGCAGCACTGATGTCCACCTCTGTGTACACATTAGAGAGAATTACCACGATACAACTAAACACATATTTAATAAAGATATAGGCTACGCATTGCAGACAATAAAAACAAAGTTGTAAGCATTAGAATTATAATGATCACATTAAAGAACACTTGGAGGAATGTTCTTTATTTTTGACTAGAATCTCAAATCTTTAAATTAAAATGTAACTGCTTTTTATCCATTTTCAGCCATTAAGACACCCAATATAAAATAAGACTACTTATAAAATTATTTATAATTATATGTATGTATATATATAGATAGATAGAGATCTTAATAAAATATATACTTTTAATGGTGTTTTAATGAGCTGTATCATTTTTTAAAACATTTTTTATAGAAATAAATAAGCAAGCAGCATTCCTTGTGTGTGTGTGTGTGTGTGTGTGTGTGCGCGCGCGTGCCTGCTCGCTTGTCCCTCCGTCGGCCGTGACGGGTGTGTGTGTGTGTGTGTGAGTGACTACAGACAAATGCATGAGAGAGTTAGCAGCCTTGAAACAGCCTGATGAACAACTCTCCCCACATGTTTTAAAAATGCTAATATAATGTTTCTGCTATGCTAAATAATGATTTCTCTATAGAACTACAAAGTCCGACTGGGGGAGGAGAGTACAGGTCTGCACTATGGAGGGGGGCGGAGTTTACAGCTCCTCCTCCAGATTTAAAGAGACAGTACCCAAAAACGGCTCGTTAAGACTCTCCTCAGAACAGGGGTAGATGAGGGTCTGTAGAGCAACAATAATGAGGAAATCAGACCAAAGAACTGCAGCTCGACTGTATTTAGACCCCAACTGAAGGATTTAGATGTAAAAAGGAATAACTTAAAAGCATGTTATGTCTCCTTTAAAGCATAGTTTAAAAAATAAAATGGTGCCGTCTGTAGGTGTTCATTGTGTCCCCACATGGCTGATGTTAGCTTCCATTTAAAGTCTCTTTCTGGAGTATTTCTCTTATCCGATGGCACCATCTAGTGGCATATCACACAGTCTGTTGTGTAGAGAGGGCTTTTGCAGAAGGTTCCAGTCGAGGCTATTTTGTTCCAGGCTGGACGCTGTCCCCCGAGTTGCTGGTGATGTATGGATGAGTTGTACAAATAAATGCCCCACGCTGTGTTTGGACAAAGCTGTCTGTCTCTTGTGTTTTGATAAGGCAAAAGAACCACAGTCGCTCTGTTTATTTAAGATGGCGACTTCATGTTTCTTGTTTATAAATGTGCTTCTGTAGCCGACAGAGCTAAAACATGTTGTTTTACAAGTATTCTCATGTCATGCTGTGTTTTCATGTGTTTATATTTTAAAGACTTTCTTGTCCGTGAAAAGTTCATCAACTCTGCATCAGCCGGAGTTAGGGTACTCCTTAAATTTGAAGCATCTAAGAGGTGGTCTAACGCTATAGGGAGTCTCACTTCTGCACCATGGGTCCCCAGAAGAACGGAAAAATGAGTGCAAGTCAATGGGGCTGAAAACGCTATTTTCAAATTCCGTTTGTCATGTGCCATGGATTTCACATATCAGTGAATTTTAAAGACACATTTTGATACCAAGAACGCACTTATTTTTGAACAATGCCCAACCCTACTTGTATTAACAGTTAAAGTGTGAAGCCTCATCTGTGGTGCCCATGAGTCACTAGGTCAGAGCAGCTTTTGGCACTGGAAGGACCGGCGCGTGCGAGTTTAAGACTTTAATCTCTTACATTACATTACAAAACATCTGGACGCGACCTTACTTGTGCAGTTTTTAAAGAATATTTTTAAAATCTCAATTTATTAACTGTTATTTTCCCCTAGGTCAAAAAGATGTCTTCGAGCAGCCGTGCGCTCCTGCTCACGCTGACTCTCGTATTATACATTTTGGATACGGCCTCGGCGGAGACGTTGTGTGGGGGAGAACTGGTGGAGGCGCTGCAGTTTGTCTGCGAAGACAGAGACTTCTATTTCAGTAGGTTTCCGGAGCCTTACAAGTTTTCACTGGGCTCTCTCTCTCTCTCTCTCTCTCTCTCTCTGTCTGTCTCTCTCTCTCTGTCTCTCTCTCTCTCTGTCTCTTTCTCTCTCTCTGTCTCTCTCTCTCTCTCTCTGTCTCTCACACACACACGTGTAGAGAGGAGGGAGAGACTATAGCCAGCTGTGTCTTAAGACTTTGTCCACAGGGCTGCTCTGCTGAGTCTGCTTACCGCCCATACCTCTCGTTGCATATGAAAAGCCGGCGAGTTTCGAAGGCACACACGAGTCTGCGACACAATGGGCCACTTGTTTGCCAGTAAAGTAATAGCACCCCGAGAGGCATACCAGTCACCTCAGCACCAGCATTCCCAGGCCAGGAGACCACACTGATGAGCTGGACAGGAGTGAGTGTGTGTGTGTGTGTGTGTGTGGTTTGGCTCCATGGCCCTAGAGAGCTAATATTCAGCATGTTTTAGAGGTTTATCTGCTCCAACACACCTGGTTTTAATCAGCAACAAATAGTTGAGCTGCTTAACAGCTAATCTAACCTGTTAAAGCAGGAAAACCACTGAAACGTGCTGGATAGCAGCTCTCCCGGAGCCCTGGGCTTAAGTTACAGTCTGCTGCAGAGGAAGTTATGAAAATACCTCATGAGAAAATTATTCTGTAATGTGTTCATTTATGTTACACAATCCCAAACAGCCCACTAAAACTGCCCTGATTTCATTATTTATGTACTGTTACCAGCTGCTCTCTTGGTCGTAGGTGATCCTCTGGTGTCTGCAGCTGGTCTCCTCTGGTGGTGTGGTCAGGATCAGGAGCTTCCAGAAGAATGTGCCTTTGAATGACTCTTTCCTCCTCTAAACAGTTATTTGTTATATTAATTAAATAAATCTCAATTTATATATTTCCTGTTTTTGTTCATGTCCATAAATACTTAAACGTGCTTGAAATTAAAACGAGCTTTTAACAGTGAGGTGCTAGTTTAATTCATCACAATAGAGCTAGTTAAGCATGCAACAAAAGTGATAATCAATGTAATTTATAAATATCCATTAAAATATCAAAACTGGAATCTAAATGAGACATTTGGCAGCACAAAAAACGTGTCAAACACAATATTTATTATAATAATTGTAGGCAGACAGGAGACAGAGCTGATGGAGGTTCTCAGTCATCAAAGGATGGCTGAAGGCTTTCCAGGAACAGGAGATGTGGTGTTGTCTCTTCTCTCTCTATTCTGCCAGATGAGCTGATAGGTTACAGGTGTGTGAGGACATCCTATTGCTGTCATAACCAGATGACAGGAGTTATCAGGTGATCAGCCAGGCTGATGATGAGATGCAGAAAGAAAACAAATCCAGGACAGTGTACAATATGTGGTGTTGTCTCTTCTCTCTCTATTCTGCCAGATGAGCTGATAGGTTACAGGTGTGTGAGGACATCCTCATGCTGTCATAACCAGATGACAGTTGTGTGAGGACATCCTATTGCTGTCATAACCAGATGACAGTTGTGTGAGGACATCCTCATGCTGTCATAACCAGATGACAGTTGTGTGAGGACATCCTATTGCTGTCATAACCAGATGACAGTTGTGTGAGGACATCCTCATGCTGTCATAACCAGATGACAGGAGTTATCAGGTGATCAGCCAGGCTGATGATGAGATGCAGAAAGAACAAATCCAGGACAGTGTACAGTAATAACAATAATCTGTGGTGTTGCTCACCTTATGTGCTCTTATAGAGTTATTAACGTGTGCCTGCCTCATGGTGTAGAGTCCATATTTTGCTGAGTGTCCTGCAATAATGCAGGTTATTAGTTAATTTACTTTTGATAGCAAAAACAAAATATTTAATGTAAAAGTTATTTACCAGGTGAATCAGCTCACACGTCACCACCAAAGCCCCATTCCCATCTGTACCGGGTCGGCCCAGGCCGGGTAGCGTAGGTTGTTTACATATCTGGGTGGCCTGGTATTTATCCGGGCCAAGCAAGGCTCATTCTCAGCCCTCTTCTCGAGGGGTCTACTTCAGGCCGACCAGGGCCAACACACCCACTGCTGACAGCAAATTCACACCTTCCATTAGAGCAAGCCTCTGATTGGTGGGTAGAATCAGCCCACATGGGCTTAAGACAAGGATGTGTGGAAACAACCGGGCCAGGCTGGGGCCGACTGGGGCTACCCGGCCCGGGCCGACCCGGTACAGATGGGAATGGCCCACAAGTGTCACAGGGGCAGAATCAGTAGCCTCCTTCATGATGTAATCACATACTTATTTAATTGTTAATATCTTAAAAATTCTGAAATGTTTAATTTTTTTTACCTTGAACAGTTCACTGAGCTTGCACTGTCACTGAGGTGGAAGCTGGAATCAACAGCAGACACCTCACATCTTGGTCTTTTCAGGAGGTGTGGATGCTCTGGGACTTTCTGGAAGATGAATTTCCGTCATGGTCCCTGTGGGTCACCAGACACACAGCGGCTGTGAGCTCTAAACTGGGTGGCTATGTAAAAAACAAAGTAGCAGCACATTTATGAATGTTTAAAAGAGCATAAAATCACGTGTAACAATAATCTGTAAAACAAATTAAAACTAGAAGGTGATAATAAAATGTTTACATAGACGATTATTAAAAATAATTCACCTTTGCTACAGGAAAGGCTTCACGTCAGCCTGGACAAGTGCATTCATGCAGCTAAATCAGTCTGACAGCCAGTGTCTTGGGCAGATTTAGCCTGAAAAAAATAGAAGCACATTGATGTTGGAGTTTATAAAGTCAGATAAAATACAAAAGAAACTGTCCTATATAGGCGCTTTATAACATTCCTAGTGTGTGATGTTATTATAACGTAAAAGTCAGTCACATATGATGTGGAGAGCCTGAAATGCGACCTCCTGAACAGAATTCCTCACAGAACCGGGTCACGCTGTGCTGGATTTCACGCTGTAATGCTGTCTGTCAACTAGTGCTGCGTTAGTTAGTCACTGTTGCAGAATTACGACTGACACAAAAACAACGCGAAATTTCTCTGAGCCTGACAGTAATAGTCATGTGGACCGTTTCGTCGGCCAGGCTTCGAGATAAGTTCCGATTCGCCGCTGATTCTAACCTTACATCCCGTTCCACATTTTGTGAACTTGACAAATTAGCCCGAAGGCAGTGCATGCTGATATTAGCTAAATGGAGTGAACCACGTCTCTCAAACTGTGCATTTAGGTAGGGAATTGTCTTTAGAAGATGTTAAAACTTTGAATTGGCTTACTCACCTCAGACTGGAGCCCGCCATGGTGGGGGAGCAGAGTCGGTGGGCTGCATCTAATTTGTGGAAGAGCCACGGTGGGCACAGCCTCCCTCTTCAAACGGAGACGTGCAGAATAACCCAGTTCAAACTCCATCATGTTGGCGAAGGAATCGCGGGTAAAATGCTGGTTGCAGACTACAGCACCAGGCGGGAGCTGACTGTTTTCCTGTACACCGATTGCGCGCAACCACTGGCGCCTAATTTCTAAGTCCAGTGGAAAGGAGCGCAACCCCACAGAGCCACGCGACCCACTACACTACACCTTCTCACCATGCTAACACGATATGGAACCGTATGGAACACTAAACCCGAACTACTTTCTTAATCACACTAACAGCTAAACACTAACTAAACTACAATATCCAATAGCCAAGCTAACACCAAATAAGTATGTATGTCTAAAAGCTATGCTAAAGGTTAGGATATGCTAATGCTGAACTACCGCTAACCGTCCTACACTCGCTTGCAAATCCAACTCCCAACTCGCCACAAGGCGTGGCCGAGACTCTCGATGCTTTTATAACTTTGACACAGAGCTGCTACGTAGTACTCTACTGTTTTACGTAGTATCTTACTCTTTAGCCATTGGCTAAAGTGTATTCAAAATGACTCAAACTCTATGTTTTAAGCTGAAGGTGGCGCTATACTGTGGTATTTAGGCAATTATTAATTTTTAAAGAAAATGCACCAAAATGCTAAAATAATGAATACACACATTTAAAACACTATTAGACACTCATTTATACAGTTCATCAGCAAAAAAAAAAAGTTAATTTACACGTTACTTGCTCTTTAAGTCTTTCATATTTTGTTGACTCAAATAAAAATCCCATTCATTTATTTAAATTTTTTTTAATGCTTACAAAACAAAACACTCCAACTTTGCTAGTGCAAAGAGAGAAAACAGTATGGGTGTAGAGTGGGTTTGTGTTACAGACTGTGGTTAATATTGTGTATGAAGTGAGTTGTGTGTGTGTGTGTGTGTGTGTGTGTGTGTGTGTGTGTGGAGGATTCAGATCAAAGCACGGTTTCCAAACTGTGGGAGTTGGGTGGGAAGTTAAGAGTTTAAGAGTTTAAGGGCTAGGGTAACTCTAAACCAGACTGACAGTTAAACAGTATTTGTCTGGTTATTCACCTTCAGTTTTATGTTTGTATTATGACACCAGGGCTGTAGGGAGACTTAGGTAAAGCAGAAAACCTTAAGGGTGACAAGTAGCTATACTTAGATTTTATTTACAACCTTTTCTGTATATGATGCATTTTTTTCTTGTTAATTCCCAATTTTATTTAAATGTTCAGCAGCTAAATCTGAGTTTCTTCTGTCCCAAAAGCTTTTACCAGTTATAAGTTCTTTGTTGGCCCCTCTGAAATCTCAGAAGGACAATGAGCCATCAACACATCACCTTCCTTTACTTTATTGATCAGTAACAAGATTAATTCTCAGATTAAACCTCTGCGGATGTTAGCCATTTGTCCTCCTGTTGGTCTGTGGAGACCTAAACCAAGTCGTCCAGCAGGATCTGCAATAGGGATGATGGGGATGCTGGGAGGGTAGGGTAGGAGGTCATGGGGGAGGGTTGGTCTCTGGTCATACTCTCCCCCAATGATCCCTGGAACTTGAGGCAAGAGTGGCCGGGGCACAGGTGTGGAAGGGAATGATGGCGGGCAGCAACGAAGAGCACGTCTGCGTTCCGAGCGGATTTTATATGACTTTTTGTAAAGCTGCAAAGAAAAAATAAATAAATCAGGAAGAAATTACAAAAACAAAGCATCAGTGTTCTTCAAGAAACTCATGATCAAACAAATCACATATAAAGAAACAACCAAACTGATCTTAATGTGTTTTATCTAGGATGGTAACTAATTATCAGAAACTAAACAGAAAATTTTTCTCCAGCTTTTTTGTTTTGTTTTACTTTCTCGGTTTATTTGAAAAGCACAGGAATACTTTAAAGAAGCTAATACAAACACCATCTTGGAATATTTTCCACAGTCAAACTTAAAGCAACACTGTAAAAACATTGTTCCACTTTTTTTTAAACAGTCTAATAAAAACGGACCGTATTGACCTGAATATAGGATGAACCCGATTATAAGACAACCCCCTCTTTCCAAGACTAAACTTAAGGAAAAGACAAAATAGTTTTTTTTAAATAAACTGTTTTTATTGAAAATTTGAGAACAAATATTTAGAAAAAATACTATTTTAATGCAAACTATCAGAACTTTGCTGACATGTGAAATCAAAAGTCAAATGAGCCTTTGATTCAGATGCCCTCTACCTCGCTGTACTCGCTAATGCTGCTGCAGTCCTGGTGTATAATCAGACCGCTACACCTGCCGCCTCCCAGAACGTCATCCTCACTGCCATTCAAGGCATCCACGCATGCAATGTTTGACTCCTCTGCTGAATTGACCACCTTCATCTTAAAATTCGCATAACTCTGCCTTATAGCTTGTTAACTTGCCCCTCTTTCAGTCCACTCTGCTCTGGGTCTCTCGTCTCCATTTCTTTCTCCTGTTGAGAACATAGAGCCTGGCACCCTCTGCTGTTACCGGTGTGAAATGACCCCAGACAAATATCAGCATGGGTAAATGTTTAGACCCCGATTATAAAACGACCTCACATCAATTTAAAAAACCTCATCTTATATTTGAGTCAATACAGTAATTTGACTTAAATTGTAGTTTTCCAATATCTCAAACTCCTTTGTATGTATTTGGTGTAGCGTACCCAAAGGTCAAGTTTGCATCACAGATGACCAGAAACTAACCTTTGAATTTGCATATACAAAGTGTGGTCAATACTTATTCCCCGTGTCATTTCACTTTTTTTATTATGACTCAACTTGTATACCTAAATGTCCTGATTTGCACAGATGCATTTATTTCTATCTGATTCATATGCAACACAGATTGTATCGGAGGAAATGTTGACTTCATGACGATGGTCTCACCTCTCTCCAGTCTACATCCCGAGATCTGTGGTGAACTGGAAAAGACCATGAAGGATTTTAGTTCAGGACTTGAATGTCTATCACAAAACATGACCTAAAACAGATGCATTCAATTATTTAGCTCAATATTTACCTAGTTAATTATTCAATGTATTTGTTCAGATTAATCAAAGACAATCAGGATTTTTGACAGACCTTCAAAAACATCCAAATTCTGAACTTTTAGTAGAAAGTTATTTCACATTAAAAAACCTGAAAAGTCTCGGCGGTACAGATGTCTCCAGAGCGTTGAGTCTGCAGCAGAGGCATTGAAATGTCGGCTGACAGCAGACAGTCTGACTACAGAGTGAACATCCAGCAGGCGGAGGACTCGCAGGAGGAGCTCTGGAGGAAGAGCCAAAAGACCAAATGCCACTGGAAGCGCCATTGCTGAAAACACAACAGTTATCTGATGAGGAAACCATGAAACACAGGTGCAGAGTAACCTGTGCTGTTGTTGGGGAAATATGAGCGATCCAGCGTGTAAGGCAAAGCTGATTAGGAAATAGCTATTTTAGCCCCATTGACTTGCTTTCATTGTTTCGCTCGCGCTGTCCTCTCCTCCTCTGTTCAGATGAGAATTTTCAACGAGCGCTTCTACTCACGCCTACTGTTTTCCAAACCTCCCCATCCCACCCCCGTGCCCTTGTTGTGTGTGTGTGTGTGTGTGTGTGTGTAACCAGTTTGTCCTGCTTGTTGATATCAGAAACTGCACTGATCTTGCAGCTGTTTTGTAGACCAGTTCCTTTCTAAAGAGTTAAGTAGATAACTAGTGTACGTGGTAGCGTAAAATGCTATTGTATAGTTACCTTCAGGGTCCAAAATTAACACTCGCCACTCGCCAAATGCTGGCAAATTGCTCCATTTGACGAGTATAATTATGAGCTCTATCTGCCGCATGGCGAGTAAATGTTTGCACCAAATTAGTTTTGTTTATCAGTCCTCTTACATGGATTTCTGTGATGCTCCTCCCACCTGCATGCGACGTACACAAGCGTACATGAACGTGAGCGCTGCATCCTACATCATTTCCGCCTACCCCATTCACTCACTGTTAATCAAGTTAGCAGTTAGCTTCATGTTAAAACTAGCAGTGAAATGTGGCGGTTTTTAACTGGAGTCAGCCAGCCTTCAAAAAGAAAACTTGTCCAACTGGAAGAAAAACCACCAGGACCAGTGGAAACCAGAAGATTTCATGAAAAGTAGCAAACTGGAGATGGCGGTGTCGTAAGACACTGGCTACACTATGAACCGGAATCTGTGCAAATGAGCGGCACCATTTGCCACCAGTACCCTGGAGAGAAGAACCGTAATAACTCATTTTTCAAAAGAAATAAAACAATGAAGCTCGAGACTATTCGAGAACATGACAACAGCAAATGCCATATTGCCTCCACGTCCATGTCCCGGGTTCAATCTGAGTCACTACTCGTGACACCCACGGTCTTGGCGCTAATGGCTATGTCAGAAAGAACAAACGCAAACATGAAAATGCTGTTTTGCATTGTAAATGCTATTGGGAATAAGGCCATTTTCCAATTTTGCGTGGATGTGCGAGTAAGTAAAGTTTGTTTCTTTGAAATTTCCATGCTCTTAAGTAGAGCTGAAACGATTCCTCGAGTACCTCGAATAATTCGAGTACAAAAAATCCTCGAGTCAAACTTTCTGCCTCGAGGATTCGTTTAATTCATGTTTAATTAATTCATGGCTTTGCAATCGCCCGGGGTCATGTTTCACCCGGACCGAAATAAGTGACGCACATGCCCACTGGACTGAATGCACACGCGAGTAGCGAACGTAACTTAACTTTCTCTTAAGCCATGGCGGACAACGTGGACCCCGGTGGAGTGCGAAAAAGACAGAAAATGTCAAAGTTGTGGGACCATTTTTCACGTCGTAAGGTGGAAAACGTAGTCCAGTATAAATACTGTAAAATGGATTTAGCCTACCACAACACCACATCCTCCGTGCTGCAGCACCTGTAAATGTCACTTCTGCAAGCGGACTCGGAGCCTCTACAAGATAATGCATTTTAGCCTGTATTTCTATATATTCTGCGGACTCTGCGACTTTTTCGTTTGTAGCGCTCAGTTTCAGCTCACACCTTACATCTGGTAGCAACACGTCGGACTTAAAATGTGCTAAAAATAGCAGTTTTTACACAACACGTCGGACTTTTTATTGTGTTATTGATGTCTGTTGTCCCTCGGGGTTTCTGCAGGAGGACACGGGTATTTATGAGTGGCGGAGGAAAACGAAAGAAAGTAAATAAATGTTTTGTGATCAGTATAATTTGACAAAACCACAGCAAACATGCTTTTGGCAATCCTTGTTAGTGTGAGAAAAAAAGTGTGGAAATTAAAACGGACGTGTGTTAATAGGGAAACAGCCAGCGAGCTGTTTGCGCCGTGAGCGGTTCTGGTTCTGTTTGGGCCGCAGCCGCTCGCAGCGTTATCCTCCTAGTTTTTGTCTGACTTGCAGGCTAGCAGATTCTCGCACGAGGGGAAAATCGGCTCAGGTTTGCTTATTTTTTGCACAGGCATTTGTTTACTGTGAAGTAAAGTTGAAGTGCTGAAGTTATGCAAACTAATTTTGAATAAAACTTGAATAACTGGCAATTGCTTGCTCATTTTAAGAGGTCTTTCATAATTATAACATGCTATTTGATATCAAATCAAATCACTTTTATTGTCACGTCACATGTGCAGGTACACTGGTACAGTACATGCGAGTGAAATTCTTGTGTGCGAGCTTCACAGCAACAGAGTTGTGCAAAAATACAGTAATGTAAAAACAAGTAAAATATAAAAATGGCTAATCCAAGTATACAAATGAATAAAGTAAACAATAAGATAAGAGATATAAAATGTACAGAGGTTGGTATGTGCAAAACAGTGGCATTAATGTACAGTATGGAGTGTGTAATGTTGGAACTTGGTGGAGCTCGCGACGAGGCAGCCATACTCGGCGCCATCTTGGCTCATCAATATATGATATAAAGGTTTACAAACACAAAAGGGTAATTTATTAGAGTACTCGATTAATCGAAAAAAAGATTCGATAGAGTACTCGATTACAAAAATATTCGATAGCTGCAGCCCTACTCTTAAGTTCAGATGTGAAATATGGCTAATTAATTCTAATGACGCAAAATCTTATTACCAGAAATGCAAACTATGTTGATTAAAATAATTGTATATTTACAATATGCATATGTTGAGAAGCAACATGTCTTCTTTAAACCAAAGAGTGTTCATTCAGGAATGTAATCTGTTATGTAACATGAATTTGTTTGTTACCCTCAGGAGGTGTCCTCTGTGGCAGCCATTTTGAAGCAGCTAAAGAGGAAGCCCGCCTCTAATGCTGCCTTTATATAGGAAATGCCTGAGTGGACTGATGTGATTGGCCGACCTGAATTGGAGGTGGGGTTGGAGAGTATATAGGTGGGCTGCTGGGTGTGGCAAAGGGTCGTTTTTCCTCTCTGAAAGTGACAGAGACTGCTAAGAGAGTTGGATGGGTGGCCATTTTGAATAGTGCTGGGATTTTCTGATTTTGTTTTTTCGGACCAGAGGAAATAAAATTGGTTTTCCTTATCTATCGACCAAGTCATCATGTTTCTTTTGTCCTCACTACACTTCACTGTGTAACAGCATATTTACAAATATATATATATTTTTTACCATTCTATTTTTATTATTTGCAGTCTGGAAGAACAAAAGGGCAGTGCAGGCATCTTCTGGCCTATGCCAGCTGAAGCCACCACACAACCCCACTTGCACCCACAGCCCTCTGTGTCTAACTGCAGTTTAAAATTGGAAGTGGGCACCGGCACTCGGGATGAGGCTGAAAAATCCCCCTGCCAAGTGCCGTGAAATGTGCTCACTCCCAAGGCCCTAAGTGTGTTTGCATGGAATGTCGTCGGTGGAAGTGCATAAGGTGCAAATAAAATTGGGGGGCAGGTTGCCACAGGAATGCGGAAATGGGGTCCATACCCGCACTCCCTGACTTGTCCACCCCCCAAGGTCCTATGTGCATGTTTGTGTGATGATGTGAGGGAGCAGGAGGAGAGAAATGTGCGGGGATGGGGAGGAATGGCTGGTTGGGCTTAGCCCTCCAGGGAGCCAGCTCCCCCATTGGCCCCAATAGGCACCTCTGTTGTCAAATTGCCACCCAGAGCATGGAGACCCCAGCCCATCCTGCCAGGGCCCAAAGCAGCAGCATCACAGCACCTCACAGAGTCCGAGGGCACCAACCCAGCCCCACCCTAGCAGAATATCTATGCCCATCCCTGCATTTGCACAACTTCTGGATTATAAAAGACATGGGACATCCAGGTAAGGTGGGGTCCTCCCCCTCCTGGACTTCCCGCTACCCTGTGATGGGACAGCAGAGGAGCCAAGGTCTACCCGAGGCCCCTGAACCCGAGTCAGGCACTGCTGCATGTTCAATAATCATTCATTGATTTGTGCGCAGGGAGAAATCGCTGTCTTTTTCAGAGCCAACGGAAACATTTAATGAAAACATTTAACTGAACCCAAAAGGGCTTTAGACAGGAAATGTGCTTCATATCAAACAAATATCAGCCCACCGGTCATCTAATACCATACAATACCAATTTTTTTATAAAGTACCTTTTCAAAATAGCATGGCAGCTAACCAAAGTGTTGTACATAAAAGAGCCAAATGCTTGAATAAATCAACAAAACACAATGAAAGCATGAAAATCAGGTAAAATACATAAAAACATAGCATAAATAATCAAGGATAAAAAATCTCTTCTAAAAACAATAGAATAAGAGAAGAGTTAACTGCATTATCAAAATAAAAATAATGCGACGAATGATAAAAACCATATGAAATGGCACAAATAAACGAAAAAAGATACAAGATGGTGTGAGGTGTTAAAAGTGAGCTACTGAATCATAAAAACTAAATTAAGAAAAATAGACCCGGTGCTGAATTTTCATGTAAAGAGTCACGGAGGGAAGGCAATACTGAAAAAGTGTGTTTTAAGGGTTGACTTGAATCTGCTGACAGAGGGAGCCAAACGCACATGGAGGGGCAGAGTGCTCCAGAGTTTTGGGGCTGCATGAGAGAAGGCACGCTCCCCCCGTGATTTGAACCGAACCTTTGGAACAACAAGCAGCAGATGATCTGCTGAACGAAGGGCACGAGTGGGAACATACGGAGTCAGCAGGTCTGTCAGATAGGATGGGGATGGGCAATACAAAGCCTTGTATACATATAACAAGACCTTGAAATGAATCTTAAATTTGACTGGGAGCCTGAGTAAATCTGCGAGGATAGGTGTGATGTGCATGCGTCTTTCGGTGTTGGTTAAAAATCTGGCTGCAGCATTTTGAACCTTCTGCCAGATTTTGAACCTTCTG